TTACTTGTACTTGGTTAAACTACAAGCACAAAACATTAATAGTGATGTCTTGAACAAGATGACTATATAGATTATTAATGAAGACCTTGATTCTTTGACTGTAGCTTCAGACACTTCACAATTACAACAAGAAATAAGTGGATATGAAGAGCTCAGTCGACAGCTGTTCATAGAGCTGGTTGACCTGCAAAATACTCGGGTAAGGAGATGAGGCTTCAAATATATTTTGTCCAAGACTAATTGAAAAACGGAAATTTGGAGTGGAGCTATAGTATGGTGCGATGCTTACCCTCTAATACCAAGGTACTGGGTTCAAAAGTGGAATCAATGGCAATGACGCAGGGGTCCAAGGTCCCTGACAGAGGGTCAACATTCACCCCACTATGGTTATAGCCATAGCCTGAAAATTTTAGTCTCAAGACTGTAAAAAGTTTTTTTCAAAGCATTGTTCTTGAACGAAGTGATAGTCTTCTCCCTGGATCCCCCACAGGCACTGCCAGCGAGTCAAAGAAACCATTGAAAGAAACTATGACATAATTATATTTTTTACATTGCAGGAAAGAACAGAATATTCTAAGACGTTGAAAGGCCGGTTCTTCAACCTCATGGGTTATGTATTTTCTCTATACTGTACTTGGAAAATAACTATCAGCACAATAAATATAGTCTTTGACCGTGTTGGGAAGAAGGATCCTGTGACAAAGGGGGTGGAGATTGCGGTAGAGTGGCTTGGTATAGAGTTTGATGTAAGTAAATGCCAAATGTAATTTTTTTTAAATTTAAACCAAAGTATATATAAAAAGAAGTCACATGAAAAATCAGTTTCTTTGTGTATCACTTCACTATTTTGCATACAGCTTAAATTTTCTTTAACCTGTAAAGTAACAGGTATAACCCTACTCCTTTGGACACATACTTGGTTTCAAATCTCTGAAGTTAGGGGTGGACTTAAGCCGGACACTAACTGCATCGTACGACTGTTGTACGACCTTCGCACAACGAATCTACATTTGCTTCCGGCGAGCGATAGACGACGCAACGCCGTCTGCTGATTGTCAGTGGCAATCTGAACGGATCCTCATTGAAAAGACGATTCGTTGGGGGCCGCATCTTCACGTGCGTTTTTCGTCGCGTTGCCGTCGCACGCAGTGAGTAACCGGCTTTACACAAGTGGAGCATTTTGCATGAAAATTATTCATAAGTTGGGTGGTGGGCTTATACCTGAAGTAGGCTTATACCCAAGGATCAGTGGCAGATCCAGGGATCCAGTGGCGGATCCTCAGCCCCGCCATGGTTGGGGCTGAGGTAAGAACATTTATGATTATGGCACCTCTCGATGGCCGAAAGGGGCACTCTTAGACTCAATATTTAAGTAGAATTTTCTTTTTTTCTCAATTTTTTTTTTATTTTGAAAAATTTAAAAGGGATTTGCAGGCCGGCTGGAACACCCCCCCCCCACCTTGAAACTAATGTAATAATAACATAAAGCGACACAAACATTTGCCTTGCCATAAGATAGATTGCTCACTCACTCTATGTTCAGCCACCAGTTATTTGGAGCCTTAATGCTCAATGAAGATCGCTTTTATAATTTTGTGATTTATTCATCAGTACATACAAATATGAATCTCTCTTAATAATATTTGTATTCATTTTTCTGTTGTTTGTTACAGGTAGCATTTTGGTCTCAGCAAGTGTCTTTCATTTTAGTTGGTATAATTATTGTGACTTCAATACGTGGACTTTTAATCAAATTAACTAAGGTAATTAAATTCATATTTTATAGTCAATACATAATACCAAGACAAATTAATTAAATATTATAATGATAGTTGTAATTCCCAGGGTTTCTATTGACAACAATTTGCAAGGGCGGATCCAGTAGGGGGAACGGAAGCACGTTTTCCCGTTTTGCTACTAAATTTTACAAATTTCAATGCAAATCAATGTTATGTGCTACTCACCTTTTCTGACACTG